GGTTTCAATACTATACCTCTTCACCAAAAGAATAACCAAGAGTTTCTTAAATAAGGCCCATTATATCATGGAATCATTAAGGGGAGTAATGAGAATGTAGTACCATCCTTGTTGTCACATCTAGATATTCATATGCTTATTCACTTACACAACTCTACCGTTACCAACCTCACTTGAAGTATTCCAAGATACCGCATCTCAAGGCACTGCATCTCAATCGTTAAAACCTATCTCAGAAGACTCCTTTCTTCAAAACAAAGCTATATAATCAGCCACCTCTGTAGTCTGTCTTCTTCTTTCTCTCAACTTCCACTAACAAAGATTCCCACCAACTTTAGGCGGAAAGAATTGATTTCGATCGCTGAGCTATCAGAGCGAAAGCAGTGGACTGAAGGATAATCCAGATATAAATTCGATGAGAATTCAAAGTTTCAGAGTTTGGCTTTCTTTTGATGTTCTTATTTACCGCTATTGAGATATAGGACTGCCGTTGTCATCGAGTGATATAATGAAACGGATTTACTGTTGTTGCACAAATTTGATTCTTCATACGTACATGCTATGTCAAGGACACTATCTAAACATTCCATCTTGGTAGCCGTTTCAATTGTAAGAGCAGCCGGAGCCCTTGGGAACAGTCCCATTTGTGATATTTCAATTTTCAACATACAAATCTTGAAAGATGTGTAAAGAGCGGCGCTTTTGTATCTAGGATTCGATTATGGAACTTAGAATGATCCATGGATGCACAGAATAGTACCCGACCATTTTGCAATTCACTCTCATTTTTCTTTAAATATCTTGAGCCCCTATAATTATATGGGACATTCTGTATATTGCTTCTTCTTTCAAAAGAGATCGTGATAGATGTGTATAAATACCTATCCATCCTTCCTCCTCTCTCTTCACCTTTCTATATTCTCAACCCCTAAGGAAATCTCGGACAACCATTGTGGATCTAGGATATACAAAGGCAGGGATTGAGAAACATACTCAGAATTATAGGTATTAGAATGAGGAGTAATGGGATGTGGATATTGAGTGAATTTCTATCATTTTCGATTGTTGTTAAATTCATCCTTGATATTGTCATATACAATTTGCCTTTTCGCCTCCCAAGTGTCTGATCTTCCATTGATACTCGATCTTATACAGTCAGTTCAAAGATTTTGAAACACAGATTATATTTACTCCTAGAAATAATACTGACCACAAACTGGTCAGTTTCCTCACACCCTTAGACCACAATTCGTGCAACGGATGTTGAACCCGAGCTTCCTCAGACTTTGAAACATTTTATAGTCACATCCAGTGCTACATTCTCGCCACCCTTGATAAAAGTAGTGAATATCTTTTTCTCCCCGTTACTTGGGTTTATTCTCCAATAGCACTCCACCTCTCCTAATCTCTTCAAGCTCGACAGCCGTACAGATAATTCAATTCACTAAAAATTATAAATTACTACAACCTCCAAGGTTATCTCCTAGCAACACAATCTTGCCCTTCCTCCCGTGAATCATCGAAATATATAAACGACGCTCCCCCTCTCCATTCCTTCTCTCCTCAACCCCTCAACTAATTAAAACTCACTCCTATGACTCGGTATACCAACATTCAAGGGGTGATCTTCTCAGAAAAACGAAGCAGAATGTAGTCACGAAAATAGAATTGCGTATGCAATCAATAGTAGACTTTCGCAGTTAATAGTAGACTTTCACCGTTATTCACTTTCTTATTGTCATTCTCTTCTCATTATCATCATCATAACCCCTTTTCATCATTTCATTGAATCACTGCCGCTCACAGCAAATACTGTAACCCAGAAATATCATCCCAAACCTAGCGAGTTTCTCTCCCGAATTCTCAAGAACTCAAAACATATTGCCATACCATACAAACTCATTCCAACAACTCAAACAGCTATTCGCAACCCAGGACCATCTATGTATTATTTGATGCGCGTAAAAAGCTGTGATTCAAAAGTCTTGAAAACCCAGACGTTTTTATATCCCAATGTTAGGTATACAGTATACATATGATACTCATACGATTATTCACTTCAAAACCTTTTACTTTGTAGAACAACCATGAGAGTGAATAACATTAAACTCAGTATACAAAAACAACTCTCTACACCTCTCTCTATTCTCAAAGCTCTCTATACTATCCCCTCTAGTTCACATAATATATTACGATCAACCCGCCAACTAACCTCAGTCCTTTAACCACATCTTTCCATATCCCCTTACAGCTCTACCATCCATTCCATCCACTCCATCCATTCCACCTTCCCAAATTCCACATCTCCAATCCCACACCATCCAGTCTCCAATCTTCATTCTCCATCCCCATCCTATCCCCTTCCCACCAGCCCCACCATCTCTCTCCCCACCATTTCTCTCCCCGCCTCCTTCTTCCCCATAACCCCCACAAATTCCATCAAATATAACCCCCGAGATGAAAATAGTATATAGCAAAAGGAACTTTGAATTATTCCATATCTCTTACCCATATTTATAGCGCTCTATCGGGAGAAGAAACGCTGATGAAGAGTCAAAGAGCGGCGAAATGGAGATGGAGAATTATGCGGTATTTTCTGATATTTTTTTCTAGGAATAGGAATGTGGATTAGGATTATAGTGGAGAGGATGGAGAGGATGGAGAGGATGGAAAGGATGGAGAGGATGGAGAGGATGGAGAGGATGGAGAGGATGGAGAGGATGGAGAGGATGGAGAGGATGGAGAGGATGGAGAGGATGGAGAGGATGGAGAGGATGGAGAGGATGGAGAAAAGAAGTTCGATAGTATTAGATCGATTGATCAAGATTGTCATTAGATACCTATGTAATCTTACATACCAGTGGTGCCAGTCATCGTTGTTAATCCTGTTTCTCACGAACAAATCTTCAAGTGGTGTTACTGTTATCATCACCATCACCATCACCATCACCAAACCATCACCAAACCATCACCAAACCATCACCAAACCATCACCAAACCATCACTCCCTCACCTCCTCCTCAAATTCCCACCTTGCATCATACAACTTCATTTGCATGCACGAACCTCAACCCCCCGTAAGAAAAACAATGCCCCCTCCATGGCAATCGTTCATTTTTTCGATCAGAGTATAATCTAATCATTTATGCGCTCTCTTCGTGCTTTTTATAAACAGATGTGGAGAAGAAGAAAAGGGGAATTGATGATTGTTGTGGATCTATACCATTACTCTATGCACTTGTAGGTATTTGGCAAGGTAGATTATAAATGGAGCATGTCGTTCCCGCTTGAGAATGAAGCAATGATGAGGATAGATATCCCAATAGAAAGGTATATTAAATGGAGCCAGCACAATGACTTCTGAAAAAAAAAAGGCTCACTGCCGAAACCCAACGTGGTATATTTTGCATTCGCATTCTTCCAGTCCAATTCTATAACAATACATAAATACCATCCTCGAAAAATGGTTCCATAACCATTATCTCATTAACCACTTTCCTCTCCAGATCACAACAAACATCCCTCTACTTTGTCCCCTATTCTGCAACCTTCTTCTTCTCCTTCAAAGCCGGTAATCCAAAAACCTTACTCACACCCCCCTTAACCTTTTTCCATCTCAAAAACTCTATCTGAGGCGTCCAAGTAAGTGCTCCAACCCATGGCTGCACATTATAATGAACCTTCAACACGACTCCTTCTGTTGATGCGAGTTTTCCACCCGGTTGTGTGATTTGGTATTTCGCTTTTTGATTCTTGAGTTTCAATACGCCTCTGTAGGTGGTGATTGTTAGTACATCCCTTCTATTATATAAGTTTCAGGAGGGAGCAAGCTTCAACAAAGATAAATGAAAATAGGAACCAACCTCGAAGGATCAATACTCTTTCCCTTACTACTCTTAATCAATTTCTTCCTCGCAGCCGACCCAATATTTTGCAAATGATCCGCGCTCGGATTCGTAATAATCGTATCCCAGATAACCGCTTCGTTATTCAGCACTTGAGGTTCCGAAGAATTGGAAGGCCATGATGCAGAAACATAGACAAAGACTTGTTTAGTGTTCCAGTTGAAGAGGGAGGAGAAATCTGCGTTGAGGGAGAAGCGGATGTGTGCGTATTCTTCTTTCTTCGTGGAATAGTAATGTGGACGTCCTTTTACACTGGGGAGGGTTAGTTGGGATTGGAGAGAAAGAGACAGGGAGGGGAGAACGTACACTTGGATATCTTTCACTTCTACTTTGGCACTGGGCGTCCGGGGCGAAATGATATCTGTACATGCGATCAAAGCCGCGACGACAAATGCCACTGTGGTGAAGAATCCAAAGACATTTTGGATGCGCACTACTGAGGAATGCATGCTTGCTTGAATTGTTTTGCGTCCAATTGGAAGGTATGGTATATGCAGCCGAAGTCCTTTCCTACATGCGCCGTCGTTGTATGGATCCTGAAGGTAGTGTAGTGGTCGAGGTTCCGTCAAATGTGGACGGAATCGATAGATGGAAATATTATCGCAATCTGGACTTTCGGGTTTAACACGTCTCAATCTCAAAGCTTCATGATTGAGCTAAATTAGTGGATTGTGGGGTAATAAGATGTGGCTGAAGCTTATAACACGGTGTGGCGGTGTACTTGATATTCGAGAAATTGTATTTATTGTATGCATTGTATACTCGATATTACAGATGCATCAAGAGATGCTTGTGCGCAGAGTCTTTCTGTATTTAAGGTTCTCTCTTGTAATAAATCAAGGGGGAAGAATGAAACAGAAATACAAATTTGGTATCGCCATCCCAACGCAGCCTTTTATATAGCTTTCAAAAGACAAACTGGTATCCCAAGTATATGTTCGTGAACTCCCCATATCTCTCCCGGAATCCTCCCAGTACATAGCGCAGTTTCTACCATCTATCATCTCCATCATTATACACCCAATATTATCTTCCTCCATATTCCGCAAAACACCCAATCATGACATCCTCCCCTGTCTCGAACTCCCAATCGATTTATGGTCTCGCCTCATGAACTGCAAAACAAGCTGAACTCAGACAATGTCCCCCCATTAATTCGTAGGTTCAACGATCGTACCGTAACCACCTCCTTGCACCCTATCCGAATAAATTCCCGGAGCTCTCGCCGCTTGGAATCTCCCTTCTCTACCTGCTTCTCGTCGTTCATAGTACACGTATTCGATATAGAATGCGTGGATGTGTCCGGGTATGTATCTTTTGGGTGTTAGTTTTGTTTTCGGGTGAAGAGAAAGAGGGATGTACCCAAGGAGTGTTAAACATATGTTTATCAGGAGATCCGGTCCACAGCCTGATACTAGGAAGACACCAACTGGAGGTATGAAGATGGTGACTAGTATCAAGAGAACTTTGGTGAATCGTCAGCGCTTGTTCATTAATAGTCGTAAAGAACATATAAAATCAACTCACTCATTGAAACAGCACCCATATTTGCGAATTTGTGTTATAAAAAATTCTTTTCTCTATATGATTATCCAGAAAATTGTGAATAAATTCAAAAATGTAATGGTGCAAAAATATGTCAGAGTATGATTGCTTTTCTGGTGGAGAAAAAAGTCTTGGTGGAGGGGGTAAATATTATATTCACGTTTTAAAATGCGGAACTTGAATATAGATCTTGGAACTGCCTCACTCGCTTAGTGTCAGTGACGTATGCTAGGCAGTCCTTGAACGACGGATATCAGGATTCAGGTACAGAAATAAATGATTTCTTTTTATAGTAATTTTATATTTTCCCTTGTTTTGAAATTTATTCGAGGGAGATTTTTGGAAGGGACAGTCTGATTTGCCTGATTTACCTTGATTTTCTTGATGGCATCTCCTTTGGGTTGATACACAATGCGTTGGCGATAATTTCAGATGGTCACGTCGATCAAATTATTATAACGTCAAATCTGAGCCACATCAAGTACAGATTCTGTACAAGATGAATCAGATTTCATTGGTTATGATCTTCATAAGATACGTTGTTCCTTTAGCCAACAGAACCTATGTACTACCTGCGCGAGCTGCGCCACCAAATGCATGGGAACGTGTGGGCCAGCGAAGAAAGGAAGAACATTCGATGCAGGGGCATTGTCATCTCACGTGCTCAGAATCATTCCTGTTGGTATAATTTGTTCTCCACGACCAATGAAGAATAAGAATCTGGATTATCTAAGAATTAGTCAATAATTGAGGTGTAGCCACATTCAATTTAGCTGGGCGAGCCGGGTCAGTAATCGAGCAGTTTGGAACAGAAAGGAACTCTCAGTGACGACGTCCTAATTCAGTAAAAGATTGGATGAATTTTCCCATTCGCTCGATCCAAAAGTCTGATGGGCAATAATTCCTCATATCTACATGACATTAGTCAACACCACGAACATTAGAGGAAGAGGTACTCACACGTGCTTCAACCATTCACAAACTATTTGCCTTGTAACAGCAGGATCTATAATCTCTTCCACTCCAAACGCATTGGCTGTCCTAACTGGATTCATCAATCGAGTATATTCTTCTTCCAACTCTTTATATCTTTCCTCTCGTTTTCCGTTCGCTTCTGCTGCTTTCAACTCCGCAGCATGTCCAACCTCAATACCTCCATCTAGTGGAAGACTTCCCCATTCTCCACTTGGCCACGCTACTCGGAAACGAGGATCTCTACAATCGAGCATGATTCCACCAGCTACCCCATACACTTTCCTCGTCACAACACTAAAGACTGAAGTCGTTGTAGAATAATATGTTGTCCCAAGTGCTACCCCATGCCTCATCGTCGCTGCTCGTTCTGCAACTGTTCCAATTGCATACCCTGGAATATCGACAAATTGGAGTATAGGGATATTGAAAATATCGCAGAATTTGAGATGCCGAGTGATCTTCTGACTCCCAGCAGCATCAAGTGCTCCAGCGTTTATCTCACAATTTATAGATATGATTCCAACGGGTCTACCAGAAAGTCTGGCAAGACCAACAATGGCAGTAGTTCCCCAAAGTGCTCCAATTTCGAACCAACTTTCTACATCGACCACAGTCTTTATGATTTTTCTAGGATCATACATTCTCGCTTTTCGGCGTGGAATAATCGTTCTTAGACTTTCACACAGCCGATCAGCTGGGTCTTCAGCGTTTAGGACTGGGGGTAAAGAAGCACCAGAGTTTGGTAAGTAGCTCAAAACCGTCCTCAATTGTTCAAAACATTCTTGTTCATTTCCTGCCATATTATCAATGGTACCATTTGTACAGTGCATACTCGGGCCACCAAGATCTGTGAAAGTAAGTCCTTCCTCAAAAGTTGCACCTGTTGGTGATTAGCATTTTCCTTCCGCCAATACAATGCACTTACCAGCAACAACTTTTGGTCCAGCATTAAACAACGCTCCAACATCCGCAGCCATCACAGAGAAGTGACATGAAACAACTCTCGCAGCTCCAAGCCCAATAGCCGGTCCCAACACAGCTCCTAGATTGGGAATCCCCATATTCAACTGTTCGACCACATGGTTAAAAGATGGCATAGGCGGTATATACGAAAACCCCTCTTTCCTAATAGTTGTCACGGACCCCCCTCCCGAAGAGCCATCCACCAATTTGACAATAGGCAACCTCAATGCAACAGCCAATTTTTCCATATAAATCGTTTTTTCCGTCAATGCACCATCGGCATGTCCAGCACGAATACTAAAATCATCCGCTGTAAACAATATTTTTCTTCCTCTCAATAAGCCAAAGCCTTGTACATTATTACTTGGTACATAAGAAACTGGCTCTTCTCTCTTCCCCTGACTTTGCGAAGGATCCAGTCTTTTCCATGAAACAGTTCCAGAAATAGAACCTACTTCGCGAAAACTATCTGCGTCGAGTAATTGAAGAACTCGTTCTCGGACCCAGAGTTTACCAGCTTGCTTTTGTCGGATATATCCTTTATTTGAGAGATCGGGTGTTTGGGCTATTTTTTGCAAAGAGGATATCGTCCCGAGAATATCTGAATAGTCGGCTGGAAGATCATTTTTTGCTTTCAGCCCTCGACGTTTACTGGATGTATTAGAGAAATGACCGGCTACTTGAGATATTCGATCTGACGCGATTTTTGAAGAGCTTTCTTCTTTCTTATCGACTGTCATGATGATGAGGTGATATTTTATTTTCGGATCTCATTCTTCGATACCAGTTTGTAAAAGTAGAAGTAAACATTCGAGAGCTTGTTGATGAAGATCTAACGATCTACATGATTTGGACCTCGGCTTACTCCCCGCCCCGTGTTTTGTGGGGAAGCTTAACCACACCTTGAAGCTCGGCCACATCTCGAACATTGATGGAGCTTCAATAATTTCAAATTTACAATTCATTTTGCTTTCATTTTCGGTCAGAGAGGACACAGCTCGATATAATTCCAGATTTCTATACAGGGGTCAGAAAAATGTCGCAACAACCCTTCCGCCCTATCAAGCGTCTTCTCATAGCAAACAGGTAGGTAGTCACCAACCCCCTCTGATCTCCCCCAAACTAACTCCCAAAAGAGGAGAAATCGCAACGCGTATTCTATCTACAGCACGCGAGTTAAACATAGAAACTTACACCCTTTACACCACCAACGACTCATCACACACACTGAACTCAACCCATTCCATTCAACTTCCATCTCCATCTTCATATCTCGATATCTCAATTCTAATTTCCATTGTTCAAAAATACAATATCGATACTATCCATCCAGGCTATGGATTTCTATCCGAATCTGCTGAGTTTGCAGAAAGAATGTGGAGAGAAGCTAACGCGGTTGTTATCGGACCTGGATTCCAAATTCTAGAAAGAACAGGTGATAAACTGATGGCGAGAAATCTTGCACAGGAATGTCACGTTCCTATTCTTCCGGCCCTCCAAGTACCCACAGATGATGTGACTCAACTCCAGAAATTTGCATCAGAGTTTGGTTATCCTATTATCATTAAAGCAGTAGATGGAGGCGGAGGGCGTGGAATTAGGATCGTAACGAAAGAAGACGAGCTAGAAGGGATGTTAAAAGCAGCATTGAGAGAAAGTCCTAGCAAGAAGGTTTTTGCGGAGAAAGCTGCTATAGATGGGTATAGACATGTAGAAGTACAAATTATTGGCGACGGCAAAGGAGGGGTAAGACATCTTTGGGAGCGGGAATGTAGTATCCAGAGGCGGTTTCAAAAAGTGGTGGAGTTTGCTCCTTGCTCGGTTGCGGATAGGGGAGTTGTCGAGAAGGTTATTGAAAGTGCGTTGAGGATGGCCGGGAAGGTGAATTATCACTCGCTTGGAACTTTCGAATTTTTGGTCCGGCAATCGTCGCCAGAGTTCTATTTCCTGGAAATCAATCCGCGTTTACAAGTGGAACATACGATTACCGAATCTCTGGCTTCCGGTATCGATCTCGTCAAAATCCAACTTCTCCTCGCTCAAGGGCATCCCCTCTCATCACTGCTCATAGAATCTCTCCCTTCATCCCCATTAACACCACCTCAAATTCACTCCCTGGAACTCCGCATCACAGCCGAATCACCCTCTCAGAATTTCTCACTCAGTCCCGGGAAGATCTCATCTTTCTATTTTCCCTCAGGAAATGGTATTCGAGTAGATACTCATCTGCATCCTTCAACCCCTGCAGTCATCGGCACAGATTTCGACAGTCTACTAGCAAAGCTCGTTATCACCGCACCTACCTGGCAAGATATCGTCGCCAAAGCTAAACGAGCATTAGATGACACATATATCATTGGCATTGAATCTAACTTAGGTTTATTAAGAGCAATTATCGACAGTGACGCATTTCAGAAGCAAGAGTGCGATACAAGATGGTTGGAGATGAATTTACCGGTGTTACTCAGATCCGCCAAGAAGATAAGCGAGGGCTTGAAAAATTCGGCACTACCGGTATTGACGAGCTCATTACCGACTTTACCATCTTCATCAGGTGTGGTATTCCGTCCAAGAGATGCGTGGACTATTGAACTTACTCCTGATGAATCCTCCAATACGAATGCAAAATCTGGGACTTCGGCGCCAATACCATATCATATGCAAATAACTCGCATCCTCACCAACAACTTTCCTTCTTCTCTCAAAGCCAACATCCTATTCACTTCTCCATCCTCCACTACCACAGAACCGACTCCCTATACACTCTCCCTCACCTCATCTTCCTCCACTCCCACCTCCCAAAAATCTTCCCATCGTCTCGGCAACCCCCAAAATCCAAACCATATAACAACACCTTTCCCGGGAAAACTCATCGAAATCTGCGTCGAGAAAGGAGATCAGATAGTGGCTGGCCAAACTATCTGCGTTATCAGACAGATGAAAATGGAAGTTGAGGTTAGAAGTCAGAGGGATGGGTGTGTGAAGTGGGTTTTTGGGGATGGGCAGGAAGATCGATGGGGAGAGGGGGAGGGAGGGGAGGATGTGGGGGTGGGAGTGCTGGTTTGCGAGTTATATGGGGAAGGTGAAAAGGGGAGGGAGAGTAAATTGTAGGTGAACAGCCTCTAGTTGATAGAACAACTTAGATAAGAGGAGTCGGCAAATAGATCCGCGACTTCGGGAACAGGATTAGCTTTATACCATGCGACGAATGTCACAACTCTCAGAGACGAATTGAAATCCACACTATCAAGTCAACAATATTCTGTCAAAATGTAGGTATGGAGACAAAGCAAATTTATCTTTATGTCGCTTATTAGATAGGCATCTTACTATCAAGCCACTTCAATTCCTCATATTCTTCCAGCCCCTGTTAATTTCCTTATCATTTGTTTCTGATTAGCAAGCACAATATTGATGTTGATTTGTAATTTTGTCATATTCCAGATTGGAAATACAGATTTCAATGCAAGTAACCTTGAAGAACGTAATTGTCGGTCCAACAGACCTTTCAGGAGGAACGTATCCGTGTAGGTAGTTGTTCATTTAAAGATTACTGATGTATACATTTTAAACTCTCGTCTACTTCGATAACCTGTATTCAACAGTCTATACCTACCTAGGTACTTACATTTAAACTCTTGATTGATTGGTTGATTGATTGGTTGGTTGATCTTTAACGAAATCATCATGGCTCCAACAATCGTTCTTATTAGTGGTGCTAACAGAGGTTTAGGTACAGTACTTTCTTGGTTCACATATTATTCATTATCCTCGATTTATTCATTCCCCAACTCCAACTTTGTATAACAAAACAAACGAAATTCTGATAACCCTATCACTCAACAGAAAAAGGTCTCCTAGCCCAATATATGAGCAAACCCGATCACATCGTCATTGCTGCTAATCGGGACCCTTCGCATCCAACGTCGAAAGCTCTCTCAGAGCTGCCTACTGGTGCTAATTCCAAGCTCGGTGAGCATAACTCTCTTTTCTTCTTTTCTTTTCTGAAATTCATGATTCCCGAATTTGTTTACCCTTCATTGTGATGGCTAATTTCTACTCTGGTATTCTGCGGACTCAATCATAAACACCCGATTTCCTTTATCTATAATACATCAAGATCTCATAATTTCCCTCCACTCTCTCCCAAGCCCCTCCCCCACATCTGCTAACCCCCATCTCCACCCCCAGTCATCATCAAAATCGACGGTTCTTCCCCCACCTCTGCGCAAACCGCCATCGGCACGCTCCCTCCCTCGGAATAAATCATCTAGACCTCGTCATCGCTAACGCTGGTGTATCTTACGCGTGGCCCTCTATTGTCGATCTAAAGATTGAAGATCTAGAAGGCCATTTCATTCCAAGTGTTTATAGAGCTGTGAGATTGTATCAGGCGACTTTGTCATTGTTATTGAAGAGTGAGAATCCAAAATATGTTACTATTGGGAGTACGGCGGGAACGATCACTGTGGGTGTTTCTTCTTGAATTTTAATTTTAACCTATGATGAAATTTCTCTCTTCGCAACCCATTCCTATGAGCGTCGAGGCCCGTTGAACGCCTTCGTTCTTGATCCCGGCTGGTACCAAACAGAGCTCGGTAATTCCGGAGCCGTCTATTTTGGAATGGATCAAGCAGCCGTTTCAGTTGAAGATTCATGTGCCCTAATGGTGCCGCTTATTACGAAGAGTACGAAGGAGAGTCACGGGGGGAAATTTTGGAGTTATAAGGGGGGTCAGTTGGAGTGGTAAATTATTTTGGGGGTTGAGATATGGTGGGGATTAGATGAATACCTAGCCTGCCTCGAAAGATGATTTTAGTGTGAATTTGCGTGGATATAAGAATAGGTGAATAGATAGAATATATGTAACCTGATTAGGACATTAACATCCCTCAAAACATATAACCAATGATATGTCTTGGTATTACTAGTATCTATTAGTTTTATCCCTACATTTTAATGCGAATTTCATATTTCTATGCTTGGTCAGCTTTCCTAAATCTATTAGAATCACTTTTCTGCTCGGTTACTATCTCAATCTATACTGGTATTCATCTTTTATACTGCTCTACTTTTTCTCTTTCAAATTTCTAGACCCTCTCCCCTGACTCTTCTATACTTTTCTGTTTTCCTACTCAACCATTCTCCTATCCTAGTACCCTTCTCTCTCACTTTCCTAACTTTTCTAACTCAACCAGTCGAGGTTCAAATCAGGCTAACTTAGATCTAATTATCTTTATGTGTTAATGAAAATCTCGATCACGATCTTGAATCATATTATCATAGAAACTATATATATATATGACTGGATAAATATTCAGTAATTTTAATCTTCAATTAATTTAATACGTTCTCTCCATATACCAAGTAAACTCACCTCTCTATCCTCCAAAAGTGATATCATCTAACTTCCCAATCCCGGCGCGTGTTACAAGTTTCGGAACAATATTATTTTACATAGCCGTATTTTATACTTTACGTCCAAGTACGACTATTAGGACTGCTGAATCCAGTAGCTTTAAATACTATGTCATACAGCCTCGATTACTAAGTATATTGCTTTAGCGCTTATACGCCTGTTCTGTCACGACTCCAGAAAACGGCTGTTCACCCCCTTCCAAAAGTTGTTTTCTCTCATCTTCAATTCAGCCTCGTGGACCCAGAGTATAGTTTTCTCTATATTATGTTCCCGGCTTATTCCCAATCTAATGGTCTGTGGTCGAAGATCATTATAATAGCAATATGTATACGCGCTAGCCAAAGGGGAGTTTATCTGTTTAAGTTTTTAGTTTAAGCGAGTTTACTCTTTCGTTAATATTACACACTGCAATCTGTAATCATGCTCAAATATCGTCATAAAAGTTTAAAATACTTCCTATCGTCTAGAATGAGCTCAACTCTGCGTATATCCATTTACTTTCATCTTATACGTTGTTAGCCTCTGAAGACTCGGCCTCTTGCATAAGATTCAGTATATCAATCGTTGCTATTTTCATTAGCGTCAACATACTCGGTGCGGATTTGGGGGTCTTTCGGTACATTCGGAATTGTTCAATGCTGATTTGAAAATAATGTCACAAATGCAAGTATAGCAGAGTAAACTTAATACGTACAGTCTCAAAAGAGTAGTTTTGCAGTATACCAAGCGGGTGTGTGAGTAGACATTCAATTGGCTATTCAGAATCACGTGTGGACTTAGACCGTGACGTCTCAACAATATTGTTAGACTCAACTCAAAGCGCCAAAAATAAAAAAGAAGAAAACATCAGAAGAGATTTCAAATTGAACACATAAGTTCATTTAGAAATGAATCATAGATTTTCTTTTGAACTAATTTAAATTCATGATACAGCTGATAGAACTTCAGACAAAAAATTAAGGTATCTAGCTGATGGATTAACTAGCACAGAAAGGATATAGTGAAGGTATATGTAGCCAATGATTTCGTTTAAATTTTTCAGTCTGCGCAATGAGATCAATGAAGCTACAACAGCTGGAGATTGCTATATAATTGATGCAATCGCTTGGATAGCGAGAGCACTCACAGCTCGTCTTCGTCGCTACTAGAATAATGACTAGTAAGCAGAGATGATTGAAGGTACACTATCGATCCTACTGATATTTCACGTTGAGAATAAAGTAATTCTGGGTAGTTCAGTTTAGAGGTAAATTTTATAGCTTCTACTTCTGATCTATCTCGCGTAATGGAGTTGTTGCAACGAGAATGCCATCCATTCCTAAATCTCGGCCCACTTCAATCATGAAGAAGTACAATTACTTCATCGTTCAGATATTAGGAAATGAAGTAAAGTAACGTAATAGAACAATCCACATTGCCAGGGAAAAATGGAATTGCAAGCCAGGAGCCTCAGAGTCCTGGAATCTATGTGTTTCATTACTACGTCTACTTTCAAGATATGTATAGGTGTGCATCTAACTCGTGTACTTATATATTCTGTCCCCTCACTTGAATCAGCCTCTGCAAATTCATGCACATTTAACTCTCTTTATTATTGCAATACTCTCAGCATGTAGTTATGGTTTTCCGGCTTCAAACCCTATATTGTGAGAGTAGCTCCTGTAATCTGATGTCTTTCTTTCGCCCGTCTTCACTTCAGAACAAAGAATCCAAATGTTGAGAATGTTAATAAGGTTATCAGAATGACGCCCACTGCGATTCTCGTCTTTGCTCTTGTAGATGAAAAAGTTTTGACGGGCAAATTGTTAACAGGATACATTGTCGAGAATGCTTTTGAAGTTGAAAGCCTTTCGCTTGCCAATATTGTATTCTATCCAGAGCTAAGCTATACACAGGAATTTGCAATTCTTTATAAGCATTACTAAGAGCCTAGCGCTCTCGCTCAACCTGTTAAAGTATGCTCAATGACTCAAGACCACCACTATATACAGACAACTACTCATCTGTAATGGCGCCCTTGATCGTCTTCTCTGGAATCATGACATTAGTTGCCTGATGCTTCAACAATAACTCCATCACTTCTTCTGTCAAACGAGAACGTCTTTCCGCAACTTCTAATATTTGTTCCGTAATTATTATCTCTTCCCCTCTTTTCTGCAATAAAAACTTTATTACCTCTTTCCCATAATGAGGATTTCCTGCTGCAGCCTTCATTACCTCTTCAGTAATAACTACTTTTTCTCTTTGTTTCTCGAGCATAAGCTCCACAGCTTTCTTTCCGAATTTGCCGGCAATTATCACAACTACCTTTTCAGGAATTGTCACTTCTCCCCCTCGTTCCTCAAGTAGAATTATCATAATCTCCTGCCCGCTAAACCCATTTTTTGCTACAGCCTCTGCTAATTTCTTAGTAAGGACTATTTTTTCCCTTCCTTTTTCGAGCAAAAGTCTTAAAATCCTTGGTTCATTCTGAAATTGCTCACTGCAATCTTTACTATCTCTTCAGTGATTGTCACTTTTTCACCTCGTTCCTGGAACAAAAGCTTCAAAATTTCATATCCATTACCCCAGTTGCTTACTGCAATCTTCACCACCTCATCAGTGATTATTGTTTCTTTGCTTCGTTTCTGAAACAAAAGCTTCAAAATCTTATATCCATCACTCCAATTCCCCACTGCAGTCTTCACCATCTCGTCGATGATTATTGTTTCTTCGCCTCGTTTTTGACACAAACGCTTCCAAACATCATACCCATGACCCCAATTCCCTGCTGCAGCCTTTATCACCTTGTCAGTGATTATTGTTTCTCCGCCTCGTTTCTCCAAAAAAAACTCCATAATTTTATATCCACTCCACCGACTCCCCGCTACAGCTGTCACCAAATCTTCAGTGATTGTGATTTCTTTGCCTCGTTTCTCAAATAAAAGCATTATAATCTCATATCCACAGCTTGGATTCTCTAGTGCAATCTTGACTATTTCTTGAGTGATTGATATTTCTTTATATCCATTCTCCAATAAAAGTTTCATAATTTGATACCCATTTGCCTCGTTATCAACCACATCATTCAGTATTTGTGTAGTGATTGTTATCTCCTCGCCTCGTTTCTCAAACAATAGTTTCATAATCTCATAGCCATTCTGCCCATTTTTTGCTACAGCCTTCACCAGATTTTCTGTAACTTTAACATTTTCTTTTCCTTGAGCCAATAGAAGTTCCATAACCTCATAACCACTATCATGATTTCCCACTACTGCCTCCATCACATCTTCCGTAATTTTAAGATTCTTTTTTTCCTGATCCAATACAAGTTTCATCATTTTCTGATTACTCGACTTTCCAACTTCTATCATGTCCTCCTCACTCATTTGAATATTTTTTTCGATTTTACTCAATATTGTTATCATATGTCGCCTTTCCATGCTCCAGCCTTGTTCTTTCATATAGACTAATCCTAGCTTTGCTATACTTCTCAATGTATCTCGATGATCTTCCCCCTGTAAACTTTTTCTTATCTGTATTACCTGCATGAAGAAAGGCTCCGCTTTCATCACATCACCCTGGTGATAATACATCCATGCAAGGCTTTCTTTCAATGCTAATATATGTAGACTTTCTCTTCCAAGCTTTCCCTCGTAGTTCTTGATCTGTCTTTGAAGTATATCTTTTGCGTATTCGTAGTTTTTTGTGTCTGCCAAGGCAACTGCTACATTGATTGAATTGAGTGCTCTGTGTGTATCTGTCTTTAGATACTCTGGTATTGAGGTATACCTCTCAATTGTACCTTCGTATTCTTCTTGACTTTGAAAATTGTCTGGAACTTGCTCCCAGTTCCAGATGAGTAGAAAATCACGCGGGGATTCCTGTCTCGAAGCCAAGGTATGTCTAGATTTAACATGTCCTCTCTTTTTTCGCGTGTGTTCTTGCAAGGTGACCGCAATTACAATGATAGTAAAATGATCCTTGTATGCTCTAATGATAGACGGCTTTAAAGCCCCTTGCAAAAGGCAAACGAGATCGCCTTGTCGGATAGATTTCGCTGAAGCCTGGAGAAACCAACGAGTACTGTACTTCTTGTCGTAGTGCACGGATTTTGGCTGACTGTTCAACTTGATATTTATACACTGTCTCTCGTACCTAGTACTATCAACATCTATTGAAATCACATGCCCAAGGACATAGCCCTTGCTCTCAATTAGTACCATTTCCTTGCTCTCCCAAGTCTTTACAAATACTTTTTTGGAGAGCACAAATTGAACAAGTCGCTTCAATAGTGCGGACCATGTAATCTTATAGTCAGGCGACAAGCCTGCTAGATTAGGACTATCAGAACTCATGCTAAGCAAGGCATATACCTTATCGTGGCGGTTAGTGGCCATACGAGTATGGTACATATCCACCAGCGAGCCCAGAGAAAGTGCGCCTGATGACCTAATCTCATATTTTGGTCGGAAGATCGCTCCTCTTATTAGGTAAATCACTGGACGGATCAGATCTAGCAAGTCTGAGTGACGGTTGTAAAAAAGCTGGCTGAAGCCTGTGCTGAAGGTATACCCGTCTATTGTTGCAGAGCCACACATTATCAGGATTTGTTGAGCGAAGCCAACCTCTTGAAGAACCTGCATCGAATTCTATTAGTGATTTTCTGAAATATCATCGATGGTAATTTGACTTGCCCAGATCCGTCGAAACCATGGTCGTTCAAGCAGTTCAAAAATTCCCCTCTGATTCACTTCATTGATTCCCTGATCCAGAGATTCATCTTCTGAAAATTCATCATCTGAAAATTCACCTTCTGGGGATTCATCTCTCGAGGATTCACCTTCTGCAGCAAAACGTATACATTCGAGCGCTTGATTGCTATCATCTGCTGCTTCGCCAAGAAAAACAATTACGCGATTCGCTTGACCAAAGATCTTCGCCATTAATTGAATCTGTTGACTCTTCTCTGTGTCGTCTTTTTGATTGATACAAATCGAATCCACCCAAATAATTCTTTCGAAGGTGCGATCTCGAAGATGTAGCAGTGCTGTGTAAAGATTTGTTGTAACAGGTAGAGAATTCTCGTTTATAAGGACAACTTTAGGCTTGTCCGGACTACCCCAGACGTAGGATAAAGCTTCATAAAGATGAATCCCTCTATCCGATTCTCGAAGAGAATAATTATGAAGTTGGCATTGTATTCGAGCGGTTTGGTCTTTGCTTGGCATTAAAGCGAGCAAACGAATACTGTCAGAGTCCAGTGGGTTTGTAGAATAATTGTATTGAGGCATGACGTGAGTTTTCATGTACAAGAGCTAAGAGTATTTAGGATGGTTGAGCTTAGTGATGTTGTTATCTGCTCGATGTTGACCAAGTATCAATTTCATATGTGGGGAAATTTAAAGAGCCTTGTGTCTTGAACTATTAGCCGCCACTGTTGCGGAAATTGCAATAAAAAGCAAGTCTCCACACATGTGCTGAGTGAGGGCAGGGTAGGTAGACGCCACTTCCAGATATCATGATCCTACCCTAGATTTAAATGACAATTAATTGTTGAACTTCTAATTCGCACAAGAAAGTTTCTTCTATTTAAGGAATTGATAGAGAAGTAGGTTTTATCTACAAGGATAGTTTCGAATACTCTATCTATGACCAATAAAAATCAAAAATTGTTTTACGAGAAGTAGATGCTTGATACTTATCACATCGCTGGAGGAAGCCTCTCGTACAAACAAGTAAAAGACTACATCGGATAGCTATGGCTCATAGCTCTAGTAAGTCTATATGTTGCATTCACAGTAAGTTACATGGTGGTAGTCATCAGAGGTCAAAAACGCGACGTGCCAGGGCCTGTCGATGGCCAAGAAAACAGTATACGAAAATCAAGAAAAACAGATGAGATAGGAAGTACCCTTGGGGGAATAGATAATAGGTGCTAGTTTTAACTGATTGCAAACTCAGAACACAAGTAATACTCCGCAGGGCTTCGAAACATAGGTTGAATCAGATGACATGACAATCAACTGACTAATATCATGAGAATGACCACTTGAAAGGTACTCACTCCTCTGAAAATACATTTGCTCAGGATCAAATAGAATGTCGAGGAGATTCCACTAGGAATTACTGCATATATAATCCGACACTGTTCGACAAATCACAGAAGTTGCATATTTTGAGCAGCATTGCTCGTTTTGTAACTGGCGGCAGTGGTGGGGGACCACAGGGTTGATATCTCGCTTATATAAGCGCACGTGAATATATGAGCTAGCAACGCGTCGCGCTTCCAGTCCTCATCATCTTTGAAGTTCCAGCGACTCATGGAGTGTTCAGCACTTCTCTTCCCTCAAAATCATTTTATTGCAAATCATGATGAATAAGAGTCATCTTTTCTCGAAACATAGTCTCATTACATATCTGTGTCGAGATAAAAGACTCATACGGTAGGTCAGCTGGTCATGGATTACACATGACTCTAACTGCTGAACATCACTGCCTCAAGTTGTCGCAGATGTTAAAATGACAATATATAGCAACCTAATCCTTTCCATAAGTGGAAGTGCTTGCTTTGCGAATTATTTTTTTGCTACTAGATCATCACTCGAGATTAACTATACAGATCTGACTCATTATTCTCTGATACCATTGTGCTTCTCAGTATATACTTGGAGAACGAAGCAGCAATACGCAAAACTCTGCGAATGCCTCACAATCACCGAAAATCGACATTGTCTCGGGAGTCCTCCACTAGCTCCTCCCGATCTTCGCGCTCATCAGGCAGTCGAAAACGTTCGCACAAAATGTCAAGGAACTCTCGATCACATCGACATCACACACGAGATAGAGAAGATAGATTCAAGAAAGATGTCGAAGAGGAGGTAGCCGGAGTAGGGAAGCGCGTTTACAAGACAGTTGAGAAACTCGAGAATCCTGTGAAGAAGCTCGGCAAGCTTGTTCTCTGGAGTGCTCCGTTGATTCTTGCGGGGTTAGAAGTACGACATGAATGGCATCATCACATACATAAGAGAAGAATGATGGAGAAGGAGTACGAGAAGGCACACTTGGAAATACAATTACAAATGGAGAGGGATGGGAAGAAAGAGGGTATTACGGTTGGGGGGACGAAGAGCCATGAACCGACACAAGAAAAAGAAAAGGCTTCAGCACCTGCACCTGTACCTACTTCTGAAGAAATACATATCCTGCCTTTTCCTGTACAAGTCGACCGTCGGGATGAATATCCAAGACGACATCCTTCGCGACGAGAGCTAGAGGAGAGGGAGCCATACTTGTTACCTCCTTTAGCTCCGGAACTGCCATGTCAAGATGTGTGGGAGATTAGACAACCAAGGATTCGAGTGAAACAGCCAGGCTCTAGAGAAGTCCGCTTTCCTCAAGTTCGTTCGCGCTCTGAGTCTGTTTATGAATATAGGCGGTGGTAGATGGTTATGGGTATCTTTTTTCTGATTTATACTGCATTTGCTTTATTTTGGAGCGTTCAGCGATGTTGGACTTTGAGGTTATGTTAACTAGAATTCATTTCTGATATCCCATTTCGTGTTGTTATCTAGTTTATATACCCGTTTAACGATAATTTTGAGTCATGAGTACTGGCGGTGGCTCGGGTTTTTATTTTAAGCTACTTGTATTTAGATCGCATACTGCTTAACTCAACTAAATCAATGCGTCAAGTGCATAATTGTGATTGTCTCGAAAAATACTTCTACCGACTTCCTGATATACAACTAAAAGAACTTCTGGTACTTCGTATATTTCAATCGTGCACTGTTTTCCCTCCTTCACCTTCTCCCTCAATCAAAAACACAATTCTCACCCATCTCATCTCCCTCTAAGCCCTTCCCAGAGACAGCATCCGATGAGATTATACGGATTCGCTATCAACAGCTTTAAACTTCAACACGCGAAGGGTCAGGGACATCGAAATGCAATTCTCCTGATTAGGTAGGCAAGTGGTCTAGCAATAAGAATATTTCAGATATTCATAAAATGAAAGGCGTTCTTGAGACGATTTTATTCCGCCCCGAGAACGTGATTTTCGAGATTCCGCCATATGACTGACTACACATCATAATTTTTTGGAACTGGAATCCAATGAAATGAATGTAAAATTAGTAGTTATGAATTATCCTCCCGTGAGTTTCAATTATTCTCGCTCTTCAATATATAATCTTTGCGCTTTTATTATCTCCCGAATTCGTTTTTCTCATACCCTCCGAGCCTCCTACCTTACCCTCCTGCCCATACCTCATCATCCTTGACCCCCAATCCCCCTCCCCAGAATACTCAAAGACGATGCTGCCTCACACAACACGCCGCAATCAGCGCCACAACCGCTGCAAAAACAGATACAGCTATTCATTGATTCATCCCCATTAGCCCAATTCACAATCTACTAACATCAAACAGCACAGAGGAAAAGCTACATAGAGAAAAGACCACATACCATGAGTATAAGTTAAACAATTCACATAAACACTCTTCACCAATTCTTCCAATTCACCATCGAGATTCCGCACGTATTCAACATCCGAGAGTGCTCGTTCGATGATCTGAAGCGAAGAGATGATATAATTTAGTAACTCAGAACCACGAAGTCCAAAAAAAAAGAAGAGAGAAAAGGAAAAAATCCACACACCTTCTGACTGCCCTCCCACCCCTCAAGCGCAACCCTAAGACCCTTTTCAAGCCCCGCTTGCATGATACTTCCTGCCCCACTAACCCCCACCACACATCCTATATTTGCGCTTAGAAAAAGTCCACTCGTGGCGATTGCTAACTCTTCTTGTTCTACACCTGCTGTGAGTCCTATAAATGATGCTGAAAGTGCTATTCCGTTACCGAAGCCGCCGGGGATGATGTAGAGGGATTCGAGGAAAGAGGTGTGGCCGTGCCAGCGGAGGAGGAGGAGAGTGTAGGATGTTAGGGAGGAGAGGGCACCGAGGAGGAGGATGGGTTTGTAGTGTCCGGTTCTAGGGGGGATTAGCGGAACAGTCTAGAAAAGGGGAAGAAATATGGAGAGGAGTACTTGTGAATAATGTATCCAGCCAGGAGACCTCCTACTGCATTTCCAATTACAGAAGGCATGAGATGCGCACCAGCCGTTGTAAAAGTCGCATGATCGGTTATTTGAAAATAAATCGGAACAAGCATCATTATCTAGCCATTCATTAGTCGCTAAAATTAAACGAATACTTAGTCAAGAAACCACATACCGCCATCTGAGCGCCCGATTGAAACCCCAAATTGACATAACTTGTAAGTACATCTCTATTACGCAACAATCTTAAAGGAAAAATAGGCTCTTTAGCCCAAAACCCTTCAACGAGGAAAAATAAAATTCCAGCTGCAATTGAGATGCCTAATAGCGATAGCAATTTAAGATCGGTCCAAGGCATTCGATGACCACCGAGATCAAGGACCATGAGTCCGCAAACGATTGAGACCGAAAGGAAAATGGAGCCTAGAAAATCAATACGGCTTAATTTCGAGAAGTGCGATTGTCTGCCGCAGATTTGTTGCGGTGTGATATCCAGTTTCCAGATTACTAGCATCAAGGCTAAGATAGTAGGTGGACATTGTGCTAAAAATGACCTGAACACAAAACAATCAGAAAGTATAATACTACATATGCATCAGGTACTCACCAACGCCACCCAATAGTATCAGTCAGAAACCCTCCAATTGGACCCCCCCAATGATCTTCCAGTTGTAGCCGCAATATTGACATAACTTCTCCATTTAGCGACTTCTCTGATTGGAACCATGTCTTGTGGATATGAGATTAGCTTTGTTAAGAACGATGTGCAAGAAACACACCTGCAATGACGATTGATACTAGACAATTGATACCAGCGCCACCAACGCCTGCAACTAGTCGTCCTACTACCACTACCGGGAGATTCCATCCCAGCCCACTAAGTTTTATATTAGCTTATTACAAACAGTTCGTCAGACACAGTTTTGGGTGAGAAACATCAAGTCCAATGACTAATTTCGCAATACCCCACCATTCCATATGTTTGCGCTAGCAATAATGACCCACAATGAACCTCGAATTAATCATTTCCTTACGAAACAATCATAACAATCGAGATCTTTTCACAAGTAATAACACCTACCAAATAGCACAGCCCAAAGCAAAAAACACATAAGAAGCTAATATCGTACTCTTCCTCCCGTAGATATCACTTAATTTCCCATACTAGTCTCTAATTAGATGGTGATCTTATATTCTGGAAACAGGCGTGGAAAACACACCAAAGACTGAGTA